CCCCCACACGCCAAACGGCCGCCGAGACCACTGTCGGAACGTCCGCCGCTGCAGTCTCTTACAAAGAGCAGGACGAGGAAAAGACAGCCTTTCTCCATCTCCCAAGACACCGTCCATTCTTTTACAAGGCCGAGCGCTAAACGCAATTCCCAGAGCAAATCCAATTCCCTCCGTCTTGAGAACGCGGCAAGTTTCACCCTCAATTGCTCTCTATTTGATCAAATCGTCCAGTAAACCAGTAAAATCTCCCCGAGATGATAATTGAATAAAGGACAAAGCGAAGGAAGCAACTTGTAGTCAAGCCTTTAAGTTGGCATTATCTGAACAGAAGAAAGAAAGGTTAAACACAACCAAAAAAAAGAGAGAAACGTGAAGAACAGATTACAGCAGATGTTGTGGACTCCATGTGCTGTCGCCAATCAGGCGTCAACGACCTCCATTACCACGTCATCCCCTGTGAAACTTTATGACTCTCAATACCGATAACAGTGTAGCTCAAAGTAACAAGTAATGGTTTGGGGTTTAAGTCCCTTTTAAACAGTGCAAGGTTGTTTTACAGTTAGGATCTATGGACGTTATGCGTGACTCCCCGACACAAACGAGCCAAGTGGGTGTTGAGTCAAGAAAACTCCCCCAAACAACCACAATTCAAGAACACCCTGCCGCGGATTCGAACCAGGGGTATACAAATTGCAGCCAAGAAAGAAACCAACAGGGCTCACGCCCAATACCCGTTTCCCAATCTCCAAATTAAAAGTCGCTTATTACAGGCTTTTTAATTATACGCGCATCATAAACCCACATCTAAACAACACGAGAACTTAACCGTGGTTTACCGCATGACAGCAAACATTTCGACCAGTTGTAAAGTTATTTCAAAAATTTAAAAACCCAGTTTCCCGGTAATGCGTGATTTTATGTAGGCTACTGTACAATAGTCAGGAATAATAAAATGATCAGTGATAGGAAGTGTCTCCAGAAAGCAAGTCACTATAAAAGAATAAGTTAGAGTGGACAAGAAAGAAGGGAATATTTATTACGTTAACCGTTATAAGGGTGCAGTGCAGCTCATGCATATCGGATAATGCATGCATAATGCACAACAGAGGGATATCAAAACGACTCAATGCGCAGCGACAATGTATGCGACCGAGGCAGGAGAGAAACGTGGTGAGACCGGGGTTGACGGACGCAGACAGAAGAAGAAGAAGAAGAAAAGAAACTGAAAGAGGGGGGGGGGATGAGAGTTGCAGTCAGAAATGCAGAGAGGGAACAACAGGGAATGGAGGGAGTGGGTGGCGAGAGGGGAGTCAGAAAGAGAGAGGGGGGGTGGGTTGAGTAAGGGAAGGAAATCGACACAAAAACGCTCATTTCAGCAAGAGAGACAGAAAGAGAGAGAGAGAGAGAGAGAGAGAGAGAGAGAGAGAGAGAGAGAGCGAGAGAGTGAGAGAGATGGTGGGGGGTGGGGAGAGAAAGAGAGGGAGAGGTAGAGAGAGTGA